AGATTAAGTTTTAAAGAGCAAGTAGTGTATCGTCCGGGTGGGTATAATGCAAGAAAAGTTTATGACAATAACAACAATGAATGACAGATATTTTGGTACTGCTAAAACTTTCCTTTCACGTCATTACAAAAGTACAAATATTTAGAAATTTATTTTCAATCTGATATATTGATAACATAGCTAGCCAAGCACCAATGGCAATATTCTTGTTTTTCGCTTCTCTCCAACGCTACCACAAACAATATTTTTTGAAGATAAATGTAAAGATGACGTCACAATTAGATGTGCCAGTAAGTCTTTTTTGCTTTCATATAGAAAAAAAATCAAAAATTTTTTTTTCTTTTATGATAACTTTGTCCCATTTTTTCTTCACATATAAAGACTGTTTTTTCATAAATCAGTGTCATAAATAATGTTTGAAGTTGTTTACAATAAACAGTTTGGCAAAGTTTTCAATTTGTGTAAAATCTTTTTTTTAATCCTGTGAAGTTTTCTCAAACATGGCCAAAAAAAAAGTTTAGGGAAGAAAAAATAGGGGGTAGGTCAAGTCATAGGACCCACACAACATTTTTCTTGGCCACAGCAGAAGTGTGGTTTTGACGATAGTTGTTTTAAACACTTAATTCAAAAATCATGAATTCTAAGATAATTGCCTCTGATTATGATGACATCATTATCAATCAACCAATCAAATTTGCGGTTACTAGCTTGACTGTTATTGTGTTGGTAACAACGATTTTATGTATTTGAGATAGAGACCTTGGAAAGCAACGCACTTATTACTTACCTCACTTTTATAGCAGCTGACGGAGCAGTACGGTATGTTACATCGAGGACATGTATAACGTGAAAACTGTTTTAAGCATCTGAAATATCACAAATAGATGATGTTAATGATGTTAACAGCGACACGATCATTACAAGAGATCGTGCAGATTATAGGTAAGCAACAAGGTTGTGGAAAGTTAAAAACATTTGATTCCCCTGGACGCAAGACATTTGCTTCATAATTTTTACTTTCGATAAGGTAAACCTCACAAAAAATTATACGGAGAACAAAGTACCCTATTTGAAGTTCAATATTTATGGGATATCAATTGTCCCACTAAATTGATTCGTCCTCCATATTTGTTTCCTGATGAGAACGCAGATCATAATATGTTTTTCCTTATGGGTATGTAGCTTAGTTTTCTGAAAAAAAACGTTCTAGCTACTGTAAAAGGGTTAATTATTCACTGGGTTTCAATTTTGCTTATTTTGCTGACTGGAAATTGCGCTAAATTAAAACCCAGTGAATATGTAAAATTTAGCATAGAACACTTTATCTAAATGATAAAACCGTGAATTTAAAACCCAGTGAATATGCCTGAAATGCTAAATCAGTGAAATTTAAACCCAGTGAAAATTAGTCATTTTACAGTAAGTTAAAACACTAATGTTGTCACATGAGCTGTAGGAAAATTTGAACCTAATCCTTCAGTCTCAAAGTGATATATATCAGGAACCGAAGTCAAAGTACACAAGTGATCGGATTTAAAACAACTGGAGCCTCTACATTGGATTTAAATC